TCCAAAAGAACAAAAGCAACCGATGCTGGCACGAATGTGGCAAGAAAGGGACCCTCCTTCACTGCTGGTGGGAATGCCGACTGGTCCAACCCTTCTGGAAAACAGTATGGACGATTCTCAAAAAATTAGAATTTGATCTCCCATTTGACCCAGCAATACCACTCCCGGGAATATATCCCAGAGAGACAAAAAAGTACAGTTGAAGTGACATCTACACTTGTTTGTTCATTGCAGCACTCTTTACAATAGCCAGAACCTGGAAAAAAAACGGAGTGCCGGAGCACAGATGACTGCTTAAAGAAACTTTGGTACATTTACACAATAAAGTACTATGTAGCTGTTAGCAAAGATGAAGTCATGAAATTTACATACAAGTGATACTATATGGAAAGTATCATGCTAAGTGAAATGAGTCAGAAAGAGAGGGACAGACATAGAAAGATTGCATTCATCTGGGGAACATAAATAAAATAGGTGACTAACACCCAAGAGTGGCCAAGATAAGTACCAGGAATTTTGGTCCATGGCTTGGAGGCCAGCCACACAAGCTAGGGGAAAAGGGAGCTCAGATAGAGAAGGGAACACCAAATAAAGGGTGTTGGGAGGATCCTCCCAGGATGGGAGAAGCATGCTGAAAGTAGACTATAGACCAAACATGATTGCCACTCAATGCCTCTTTTGCAAACCACAACACCAAAAGGAGAAAAAGAACAAAAGGGAATGCCCTGCCACAGAAGCAGTGTAGGATGGGGGGGATGGGAGGTGGGAAGGATACTGGGACCCATGGTGGTGGAAAATGGGCACTGGTGGAGAGATGGGTACTTGATCATTGTATAACTGAAACCCAAGCACAAAAATTTGCAAGTCTACAACTGTACCTCATGGTGTTTCACTAATAAAAATTTTTAAAAAAAGAAAAGAAAAACATAAGGATGATATTACGGGCTGGACTATCATTAATTTTACAATTAAAAGAGAGCTTGGGCGGGGTTGGAGTAATAACACAGCTTGTAGGGCATTTGCCTCACAGACAGCCGACCCCCAGGTTCAAATCCTAGCATCCTGTATGGTCCCCTGAGCACTGCCAGGGGTGGTTCCTAAGTGCAGAGCCAGAAGTAAACCCTGTGCTTCACTGGGTATGACCCAAAAAGAAAGAGAGAGAGAGAGAGAGAGAGAGAGAGAGAGAGAGAGAGAGAGAGAGAGAGAGAGAAAGCTTGGGCCAGGGAGATAAATCAAAGAGCTGAGTATATACATGCTTTGCATCCTAGAGGCCCAGATCTGGTTCCCAACACAACACAGTATCCTGGGTACAGAGCACCACCAGGAGCAACCCCCACACACAGCACCAGAAGTAGATCCTGAGCACCATTAGATATGGCCCCAAACCAAAACTCTAAACAAAAGGGAAAACTGATGTATGTATTTTGAATGAAGCCAAAGTGAGTTTTCTGACTCCAGGTGACTTTGCTTTTAAGCATCAGACAGAAGAGAAAAGAGAAGGTGATGTTCACCTTTCATTCATCTTCTTTCTCCCTTAACAAGGAAACACATTTCCATTTCTGATCTCCTGTTGGAAATTACAATAGAATTTGGCTAAAAATTTATATATGATCCTGTATATAAAGGATCATATATAAATTGCTGGAGAGACAGTGAAGAGGTTAGATGCTAGCCTTACATGCAGTGGACCCAGGATCAATCACCAGCACCACATAGCCCGAGTACCAATAAAAGCAACCCCTGAGCACACAATGCAGGCAGTAGCCTCCAGCACTGCTGGGTATTGCCTGAACCCCCTCCAAACATCTTGTCTGCCCCTAATAAATAAAACTGCTATTACCTATAGAAGGTTTGAATGAAACCATGATGATCTGAATATGTGATCTCAAATCTCAAACAACTAAACCAGCAAGAGTTCAGGTACTACTAACTTTTGTATACCTCATGATTGCAAAATAAATGTCTCATTTTCTTATACCAAAAAAAAAAAAAAGCTGCATTCTACCCAACAAACGAATTTTCAAGTTACTATTATTTTGCAGCATTTTGCCTGGCAAAACAATCCTTATGGTTTTTCTGATTATTTGATGCAACTTTTCCAAATACAATTCAGTGAAATGTAGCTGGGTCTCTGTGGCCTGGAACAGTCTGAACTATGCAGATGGTATTTCCTCACTTCCCTCCCATGGTATGGAGCAGAGGGCAATGAGCCCTACCCTTCACAGGGCGGGATCCAAGCTGTAGTGAACACACTCAGAGAAGAAGAAGTACTGCCACTTGAGCGGAATATCTCTGGAGGTGCCAATTACCCCAAATGAAGTACTCTTTCAATGGAAGCTCTCTTAAGCCATTAGACCTTCCTGGAATTTACTTCCTAAGTGTGTCAGAAGAAGCTGTTCTTTCTGATGGCCTGATATTTGAGCAGGAATCTGCAAATCCAGAGTCAAACAGTTATTTATTTACAGACCACACAATCCCTGCTGCAACTTTATTAATATACTAAAAATTAATTATTCAAAAATGAGCGAATTCTGTGGTATCTACAATACACGTCAATATTTTTAAAAGATGGAAGACAAAATGGAGACCTTTTATTTATTTATTTATTTTACTTTTCTGTCACATCCGGCGATGCACATAAGATTACTTCTGGCTCTGCACTCAGGAATTACTCCTAGCAGTGCTCAGGGGTCCATATGGGATGCTGGGAATCGAATCTGGGTTGGCCACATGCAAGGCAAATACCCTATCCACTATACTATCACTCCAGCCCCCCAAATGGAGACATTTCAGAAATCAACGAAAACTGAGGAAACTATTATTCACTGTCCTTTATAAGATAAAGGGGCTGGAGTGGGTAGGGCACTTGCCTTGCATGTGCTGACCTGTGTTCAATCTCCAGTACCACATATGGTCCCCTGAGTCTCACCAAGAGCTATCCCTAAATACAGAGCCAGGAATAAACTCTCAGCACCATTTGGTATGATTCAAAATCCAAAAAAGGAAAAGATTTCAGGAAATCTCCAAGGGAAAAAATCAGAAATGGGAAATATCTAGATAAATATAATAGACTTTATATTTTTAAATATAAAAATTATTTTTTTTAAATTTTTTTCTTTTGCTTTTTAGGTCACACCTGGCAATGCACAGGGGTTACTCCTGGCTCTGCACTCAGGAGTTACTCCTGGCTGTGCTCAGGGGACCATATGGGATGCTGGGAATCGAACCTGGGTCGGCTACATGCAGGGCAAACGCCCTACCCACTGTGCTATCTCTCCAGCCCCTAAATATAAAAATTATTTTAAATAACTTTTAACTTATTTAAAATAGTTGCGTAGAGCAAAAAGAAAATTGTCTTGAGAACTTATGCTTGTACCACACTTACATATTTTTATTGATGTATAAAACAACTATGGCATATAATGAGAGATGAATCAATCTGCAAGATTTCTACATGTTATAAGAAGTTTCTCAGCAATTTCAAAGCAGTGAAGCATAAGTAGATTATAAACATTTTTTAATGTAGTATTGCAAAAATATAAGTTGGTATATTGAAATAGAATTGTCTAAAACAAAGTTTAAAAAATGGAGACTTTTTAAAAAAGGGGAATAAACAGAAACCAAGTAAAATAAGATAGCTAAAATAAGCCACATCAATAATTACATGAAACATTAGAAGACCAGGTACTCCAATGAAAAGTCAGAAACTCTCTGAGTGGATAAGGAAGCAAGATCTAAGGTCAGAGGTAGCTGAGTGGCAAAAGCATTTGCCTGACAAACAAGAGCTGTGTATTCAATTCCCAGCATGCTTAGAGAGTGATCCAGGCAGCTCTGCTCTGAGACTTCTACCAGGTATCTCTGAGCATCCCAAGTAAAGGGTGACACCTCCAATGAGCACCACAATTTAAAAAACGTACAGAGACAATGCAACCAGAGGACATTCCAACAAGAAGTGATACAAACATCACAATTAAAAAGCATAAATGAATGTCAATGAAGAAAAAAGACATGCCAGAGAGTAAGCCTTAAAACGCCAATTTGAGTCTGTGGCTATCCAATTAAATCGATGACAAGAAAAAACAGTATGTTCAGAAATGTTTCATAATGGGAAAGCACCAACAAATTAGGCAGACAACAATCACAAAAGTACACACCTAACAATATTTTTGAAAACATGAAGGAGACTTTGAAATAATTAAAGGAAGGCTAGTAAAAATTGTAATATTATTCTGGGCAATTATATAACAAGTGTACAAAATGTGAACAAGACAAAGATAATCTGAACACCACTAACAACTCTGTATTAATGGTTATAGAATGCTAAACCCAATGACTATAGAAAATATGTTCTTTACAAATGCAAATGATATTTACACTACTATAAACATATCCTGCACCTTAACACAAGTCTCAATACATCTGAAAGGACCAAAATCATGTAGATATATTTAGACACACACATTACACATTTTCTCTGGGTTTGTCCCCACAGTCTCTGAGCTGATGGGGTACTTGACACTGGTCCATAGATGAGAGGAGGGTTCAGATCAGCCCAGAGGTGGGTAACTTACTATAATAAACCAAGAATTGATGGCACATAAAAAATCGAGGGGTGAGTAAACCTTCAATTTCTTTAATTTCTTTTTAAATATCAACCTTTATCTAAATAAGACAGGATAAAATATAAAAACACTATTCAACCTTCTGATGAAGCATCCACCCTGTCACTGACAGAATGTCCTTTGTTATCTTAAAGTCCTCATCCAGCCAGATGGACAGGACCGGGGATAAAGTACTCACTCTGCAGGTGGCCTAACCCATCCCCAGCACCCCAGAGTTCCCAAAGTCTCAATGGGAGCAACTCCCAAGCACAGAGCTGGGAGTAGCACCCAAGCACCACTGGGTCTGTAGGGCCCACCACCAAAAAAAAGCAAAGTCCCCAGCCAATGATTCAAAGCTGCTGTCCTATGAAAATGTTCTAATTAACATAATACAGTAACCTTGTAGTTGAGTCTGTCCCAGGCTTTTCTCAGCTGTAACTGATCTCCATCCAGCGCATCCAGATTCATTTTTATTGACAGAATGGATAAAAAGGGCTTTTTTCCTTCATCAAATGAATTCAAAAAGGATAGCAGGCGCTGCAATTGGAAGAGGGATTTAAAGATTGAAAAGTTTAAGTCAGTTTATAAAAGTTTCGATAACTCAGGCTACACATATTATTTTTTCTTAAAGGTAACATCCCAAATTCAGGATCCTCAAAACAATTCAGTTTCTTTCTTCAGTGTGCCCTGATAATCTGGGTGGCATCAAAGGAAGAAAGGTTACAGCTAGTGCCATTATTGCTGAATTTCTGCTAATAAATGGTATGGTAAGGTCCCTCAGATTTAAAGCATCATAAATCATGAAGCCACATGGAAAGGGAAGTTTGCAAGTCCTCCCCAAATACACATTCACAGTAGAAAATGAGAAGTGAGAGTGAGATGTCAGCAGTCACCATGCATAAATGGTGTTTGTAGCAGTCATTGTTAACTCAGCTTGAGCCAATGCATCCCAAGCCCTTTATACAGATGTTAGAAAACCATCTCTGCCCTCAAACATTTAATAAATTAACTTTCTCCTTTGTTGTTTGTGTGATATACTGGCTTGTCATCAGTCCTATAAATATCCTTGGTGTTTTGGCTGTTTTGTTTTGGGGCCATCCTTCACCATGCCCAGGGCGGCTTACTCCTGGCTCTGAGCTCAGGGATCACTCCTGGAGGTGCTTGAAGGACCAGGGATCAAACCTGGTTGGCCGTATGCAAGGCAAGTGCCTTATGCGCTGTTCCATTTCATCAGCACAGTCCCATAAATATCATTGAAAATATTATAATTATTGACTGCATTTTAAATTAAGAGAAGACCAAAGAGAGAGATATTTTAATTCTCTCAGATGACTGCATGAGGCTTTTTATTTCGGAAACCTGAATCTGTGATATATTACTACACCAGAGACCTCTGTGAGATCTAGGTACTTCCAGTGGACCTGAACATCTTGTCAATGAGAAAGCACTTTTAGCCTGAGCTAACAGGAAAGAGCACAGAAGCCTCTGTAGTTCCACCGAAACAAAGATAGCCCCGATTTCTTCTCTAATGACTCCAAACCAAAACGATGGTACGGTTCTCAAGACACACAGCATGTTAATGCTGGAAAATCTAGACTTATCCAGGTGTATCACCCAACATGGAAATGGAAGTCCAGGAATAGTTCAAGAGAGACTGATTGGAAGCACAGAAACAGAACTACGCAACTTTTAGTTCTTGTCTCTTTCAAGAGGGTACTGGGAATAACTGCCTATTCTAGAGAAGCATGAAGAAGTAAAGCAAACTAGGGCTTTGAAGCTAGACTTATTCAAATCCCACCTCTTCTTTTCAGTAGTCAAATAACCTTAGATCAATCACTTAGTCCATCTCAGTCTTGTATTAATCAGGAAAACGGGAATAATAAAACCATACTCAGCAAGAGACTGTAATATTAAGAGTGCCTAGTGCACAGAAAATCTTCAATATGTGATCATAACAGCAGTCATTACCCCCAAGGACATTCTGGTGGGAGAACTTTACTATAATTCTAGGATGGCCTCATTCCTGATTTCTCTTTCATTCTATATTTGCTCTGAAAAGTTGGTTCTTTTCAGGGCTAGGATAAGATAGCAACTATCTAAAAAACTCTGTGGGACAGATAGATGATTGGTCTCAACAATCACCTCTGTGGTTACAGTGTGGAGACAGTACTGGATAATTCTTAGTGGGTACGGCTCTATCCCAACAGTCGTGTCTACAAAAACATGCAGTGTGGCTCACAGATCATAATTTGCTGGTCTGCACTCTAAAACTGCTCCTCAGTCTTGTATTAATAAAAGCGCTTCAAAGACTAGAAGCATCAGTATATCCTGGGAGCCAGATGGTAATGGAGCTTCACAGGTCCCACCCCAGACTTCCTGACTCAGAATCTAAGTTCTAACAAGACTCTCAGGTGATTCACAGGCACTTTAAAATTTGAGAAGTGCCATCCTAGAATTCAACCCTAACAACCTGGAGTTAATTTTATATTTATAGAATTAGGTGTGAAGATTTCCCCGAAAATTCCCTATGAGTAGGCCATAATAACCACAGCAAAAAGTCATACTGACCTCATACTTTGTAGAGTAGGTCTCATTTTCTGAATCCTTTAGCATGACTTGTAGTTTCTGCTCTTGCTGGGCCAACCAGACCATAGCTTCTTTCATTTTCTCCTGTAATTCACACACACACACGCATGCTCATTTAAAAGTCTATCCTAAATAGACCTGATTTTTCACAATAAATGAACAACTTCAAATGTAAAGTCATCATTACACACTAATGACTCTATGTGCTAAAGAGAAATGCTGTGTGTTCAAATAACATCTTTAAATTTTAAAAGTCTTTAAATTTTAAAGTGGATTGAAACTAGCATCTAAATATAATAAAGCACGACACAGAGCAAGCAGCCCTGTCTGGGTAGTGGTGTTTTGTCTAAGGTATTTTTTTTTTCATTATTTCACTTTAGAAGGCATCATTCTAAATTACTTTCTTATAACTAGCATTTAAGAATACTATTATCTAGTAAATATACATATGGGTTAATTCAACAGGTCAATGTTCTTCTCCAATACACTCACATCAAAAATATCTTTACGAAATATACTGAGCACACTCCATTCTGGAATACCTCACACATTCCAACTCAGAGTGTGCTATTTTTTTTTCAGTTCACTTTATGTAATTCTCACTCTCTTTCTCCTCTCTTCTATTTTCTTCAAAGAATATAAAATACCTTACAGGAGCTAGACCTAAAAGGACTTGGGACCACCAGAGCGAACCCAAAAGTGCAGGGAATAGGAGCGGCTTTCAGGGTACCAGGTACCAACAATCAAGTTCAGGATCTTACACGTCACTTGAGTAATCTCCCCAGTCTATCTTGAGTAGTTAATAACCCTTAAAAGAACACCAGTAAAGGTTGGATATGACATTAGATGAAAGTGAGCAAAAACTTCTTGGTTTGTTCATTTGTTTTTTCTCAGAGGGTAAATCTGTCTACATTTGGGAGTCAATTTTATAGCTGGTATATAAAGAAAACACAATTCATTTCCATTGTCCATTTATTCATTTATACATTTGCTTTTAACCTTCCAATTAAGGCAAGGGCATTTTCTATTTGGATGTCCAATGCCACGACAGGTGAATTTTTTAATTTTACGTTTTTGGTTTGGTTGGTTGATTTGGGGTCCAAACATGGCTGTGTTTCAGGACCATTTGTGTGGCTCTTTGCTTGAGGGTCACACTTCATGGAGCTCAGGAGGTCATATGGTAACTGGGGATCAAACCAAGGCCTCCTACATACAAAACATGTACTCAGCCCTTGGAGCTATTTTTCCAGTCCTTAATTTTACTTTTTAAGACAAAAATTAATTAGAAAAGACTAGCTCCTCAGCAGGTCAGAAATAAGTGAAGTGCATTTTAAGCCTGAATCTTAGCTGAGTCTTTCTTCCAAAGCCAACATCAATCTGTCTTCATGCTACAAACTTTTCAGTTGGAGAAACATAGGACTAAACTGACAAATAAAATGGACTAAGGACTATATGTTCACAGATAAGCTAAGGAGGTAGTTTAAGTAAACTTTAAACTAACATTCAAATACATTTTATTAAATTCACAATAGTCATTATCTCTATGAAAGCAAAATTAGTGTTTCTTTTCAGTTCAGTGATATTTATGAAATTTCCACTCACAATACTTTGTTAAATTGACTGAAAATCAAAGGGAAAAACTGAAATATCAAATGGCAATTTGATGCTGATTTAAAAGCATTTCAACAAGGAAGAATTAATAGTTGGGAGACATAATGCTTCTTTTTACATAAATTGTATGATTCCATGTTTATGAATCTAAGAACAAGTAAACTGGAAATAAGCTAAAATTAGATAGCAATGGTTGCAGAACCAAGAAAAAATACTAAAAACTATTTAACCATAAATTTAAAAGGGTAAGTTTTATAAGTGATTGCATCTCAATAAAGCTATTAAAAATTATGACAAACAAAACTGTAATGTTTACAACTTTTTAAAAACCCACTAAAACTGAGTCAGAAAGATTGCTCAAATGATTGAATGCAAGCAGGAAGCCCTGATTCAATCCCAGCACTACAGAGTCCCCTGACAACCACTAGAAGTGACAATCTTTCCCTGATCCAGAGCCAAGAGTACCCTCAAGCGCTGCTGGGTGTGCACCCCTCCCACCAAAAAGAAGCTACTAAAATTAATCTGTCCTATTTATAATTATCAAATTTTTTTTCAAATTTTTTTCAAATTTATCAATTTATCAAATTTTTTTTCAAATTTATCAAATTTATCAATTATTTTCCATTTTTTTTCAAATTTATCAAAAATTGTTCTAGATAATTCAACAAAAGTTAATGGCCACCACATTTAACTTGAGTAAAACAAAAGAATAAGAAAAGTTAATCTATAGTGAAAGAAATTGGTATTCTATTTGTTTAGGGTACAGGGAGTAGACTGGAAAGATGCACAATGGAACATTCTGAACAATGAAAATAATTTACATCAATGACTGGAGTCTGACTTTCAAGGTGGATGTCTTTCTCTTAACTCATAATACTGTACATTGAAGCTCTGTATAAGAATTTGATGGAAGTCTTTAATTAAAACTAAAACTTTTCATTAAATCTCATTTAAACAAATTAACCATTGGCAGGGTACAATAAAAATGAACTTGATTTGTACTTATAAAATCATACCTGAGGCATACCAGTCCTAAATGCATCCTTTGAGTATTGTAGAAATTGTGCCACATAGGTCATAATTGATTTTTCATCAGGATCAACAACATCCACATCTGCAAAACACACCACATTATCACTTAGCTGCAGCTGTGTAATTGTGAGTAACACTTATGAATGGAATATGCTTAAAACAGTCTTAAATGGATCAAAGTAGAAGACCAATCATACAATCTCTGGCTACCTGCTTTTTTTCTAAGACCAATGAATGGTTAAAGAGTTTCTAGAATCAGACAGAACTGATTGAATCCTGCTAGAAGGATATGTATAGTTTCCAAATAAGAAAATTAAATCACACATGATATATATATGATATATATGTAATATATATATCATATATATATATATTGTGTCTGTGTGAGAGAGAGAGAGTGAAGAAAGACAAACATTCAGCCTTGAGACATTTGCCCAAAATTCTCCAAGACTGAGAACATGCAACAGTTGGACTACATTTCAGAAATACTAGTCTCAGTATCTGTGTAACAAAGCATTTCCAAAAATACATACTATACAGGAAATTTAAGCAAGATAGTCACAGATTTTATTCATTCATTTATGGAAGAAAGATACTTATTAAGAGGCTTTTATGGTCCAAGCTCTATGTTGCATTAAAAGAGTCCATGGTAAAAGTAATTTGGAAAATGATAAATCAAACTTAAAAATACTATTAAAAATTTTAGAGATTTCCTTTAGGTATATAATTAATCAAGTGGATCACAACAACAACAATCAGAGACCACAATATGTTACCAAGCGAACACATATTTTTGGATGTCTCTGTATTATTCAAACACAACCAATTAACATTATTTTTAAAAGAACATCTTTTTAAATGAATCAAAGTAGAAGACCAATCATACAATCTCTGGCTACCTGCTTTTTCTCTAAGACCAATGAGCAGTAAGTTAAGAGCTTCCATTTAAAGTAATTTAAAAAAATAGATATTATGTCTGTAACTATTAAATTGTGAACAGCATAGGGTCTACAATAACCTTAATGAATCAATCCTGTTCTTTGGGCTTTAATTTAATCCTTTAATTCAGTACCAATAGAAACCAGACACTTGAATAGATTCTGGATAACTAGAAATTACTTGTTACACCTAAAAATCACCAGATGAATATTTGATTTGTTGTTTTATTGTCAAGAAATGGAGAAATTATTAATAAATATCTTAATCTTAAAATAGACATTATGAAGAGTCACAAATGAATCTCAAAAGAGAACAGCACACCACAGAGATGTCTCCCCATCCCACACCTGGCTGATTTCATCTGGCTACCTCAAAATGGAGCAGGTGTGTCCCTCCGCCTGGCCCAAATGAACCCCAGTAGCCACAAACCTCCAGAAGCCGAACACTGCCACGCTCACGGCCAACTTTCACAGGCTCATTCCAAGCCCCCCATGCATGAAAATAAATCCACTGGAAAAACCCAGGTATGTGGGACTTGTGGCTGAAACCTCCAGGCTTCACAGCGTCAGAAATGGGATCCTCTTCCCATTCCCCTTGGCCTTCTGGTTTCCTGGCAGTCCCACAAACTGCCTCTGGGAGCCATTTAAGTGCATTAACAACCATGATCCAGAGACTCACAAATGAATCTTGGAAGAGAGCAGCATACCATAGAGATGCCTCCAGACCCCAAATATTTAAAAGTTACAGAATTCGAGGAGCATCTCATATTATTCATAACATCTTGTACTATTTATATCAAGCAATACAAAATAAATTACTTAGCATCTGCCTGTGAAACAGTCTTGGGTGGTGGTGGGAAAATTCAAAATAATCTTGATGGCAAGGTGTAATGGTGGTGAGCTTGGTGTTGAAATAGTGAAAGTAATCAATTATTGTGAATAACTTTAGAAAAATAAAATTTAAACCTTAAAAATAATTTAAAAAAATAAATATTATGTAATCCCATCAACGGCCAAAACCCAGAGACTATAAAACCCAGCTCCTGTTAGAGAACAGAGCAGAGTCTCCTGCCCCCACGACTGGCTGTCCTCACTGGGGCCCCTTGGAGGGGGGCGGGTTGAGTTTCCCTCCCCACCCCGAGCAGAGCCCCGGCAGCCGAAGACCTCCAGAACCAGCCACAACCATGCTGAGACCACTCTGCACACGCATGAAGGTACTGGCAGAGGAACAAAGGCATGCGGGTCCCGGGGCTGAGATCTCCAAGCCTGCTCGGATCGGGGCTGAGCATCCTGCACCCAGATCCTCCATCTTCCAGTAGGCAGGGGTCACACCCACCAACTGACCCCCCTCCCCCACCCCCGGCTCCGTGTAATCCCATCAACAGCCAAGACCCAGAGACTATAAAACTTAGCTCCTGGAAGCACACGACATCTTATAATCTCATTTTTACCTTGGACAACCTGGCAGGCTACTGAATGTAACCTGCCCACATGGCAAAGTCTGACAAATTCCCTGTGGTGTACCCAATATGCCAAATACCAGTAACAATGATGGGTCTCATTCTCCTAACCCTGAAAGAGCCTAGAATATGGCACTTTTTAAAATCTCAGGACTAGGGCAAAGGAGACATTACTGGTGCCTGCTCGAGGCAATCGAGGAACAAAAGGATGATCGTGATTGTGATAGTATGTCTATAACTATTAAATTGTGAACAGACAGAAAACAAACAATAGTTAAATAGAATGAAATTCTTTTATATGAAATGAAAATCTTACATATTCCATTGTCTCTTGCTGGCTTGCTGCCTTCCTCAAGCTTCTAACAAGCCTTTTATTTATTTATTTATTTATTTATTTATTTATTTATTTATGTGGGCTGGAGCGATAGCACAGAGATTAGGGCGTTTACCTTGCATACGGACGACCCAGGTTTTATTCCTCTGCCCCTCTTGGAGAGCCTGCAAGCAACTGAGAGTATTCTGCCCACACAACAGAGCCTGGAAAATTCTCCATGGTTTATTCGATATGTCAAAAACAGTAACAACAAATCTCACAATGGAGATGTTACTGGTGACCACTTGTGCAAATCGATGAACAATGGGAGGACAGTGTTACAGTGCTACAGAAATTCTTTTATTCTCCCCATATTCTTCCCATATTCCTCCAGTTTAAAAAAAATTTATTTACATCACTGGAGAACAAATAAAGTTCTGATATAACTCTTGGCTGTTACATTTACACAGTAACTTAATGAAAACTGTCTACCAACACTCATGTCAAAACTTGTCTGACAACTATAACCAAAAGTTGGCTTCAGCTGCTTATGAGTGTTTGGCAATAATAAACAAAAATAATTTGGGTCTCTACAGAATTAATAATAAAGAACATCATATATTTGATTATCCTTTAACAAATTAACTTTAAAGTAGATATGTGTATATAAACACACACACGTGCGCGTGCGCGCACACACACACACACACACACAGAGTTTTGTAAAGCTTATCAATAAAAATTAACCAATAAGGGGGTGCCAGTGCTGCCAGAAGGTCAACCTGTACCTGTAGGGCAAGTGCATCAGTAGCCTGATGGTGCCTTCTGGCTTCCTGATACCTCAAAATTGCCTCTGTGCCTCTTGCCAGACCCCAACAACTTGAGACCAACTTTCCCATGAAATTAAACGGCCAAAAGTTAGGTATGTGGGAGCCACAACTACAAACCACCTGTGGCTCAGCTACACAAGTTCATTTATTGGTCTTGTTTCAGAGAGCCATAAATAGATCTCAAAACAGATCAAAAGCCTCAGTTAATCTCAGACCCGCGCAAGGCTGAACAGACGAGGGTACATCAGATGAGGGTGGGTCCGCCTAGTGCCAGACAGCTTGCTTGCTTCCACAATCCAAAACCGCTGCCAACCCCCAGCTGGACTCAACCATCTCAGGTTGGACCTCACAGAGATATAGTACTGTAGCACTGTCCTCTCATTGTTCATCGATTTTCTCAAGCGGGCAACAGTAATGTCGCCATTGTGAGACTTGTTTACTGTTTTTGGCATATTGAATATGCCACAGGGAGCTTGCCAGACTCTGCGGGTAGGATACTCTCAGTAGCTTGCCGGGCTCTCCGAGAGGGATGGAGGAATCAAACTCAGGTGGGCCACGTTCAAGGCAAACACCCTACTTGCTGTGCTATCGCTCCAGCCCACGGAGATATAATCTACTGAAAATTCAGGCATGGGGGTTTTGTGACTGAAATATCCTGGCTTTCTCAGGGTCAGAATGGGCTATCTTCCCCCACTTTCCTGTACTACCAGAAGTCTTGGCAGTACACCCACACACCCAGTTAAAAAAGCTACTCCAGCCTTACCTTCCTGATAAAAATACTGAACTCCCTGAACAAACATGATGACCACTAAGTACCTGTATTGCAAACCACAATGCACAAAAGGAGACAGAGAGAAAGAGACAGACAGGGTGTGGGGGGACAGGAGGTTGGAGGATGGTAGGAGGGAAATGGGGGAACACTGGTGGTGGGAAACATACACTGATAGAGGGATGGGTGTTGGGTAATTTTATGACTGAAACCCAATCATAAGCAGCTTTGTAATGGTCTATCTCATAGATATTCAATAAAAAAAATTTTTTTTAATTAACCAGTATATCCTTACAGAGCATAGACTAGAATTTGTGTCTCTTAAATTGCCAGTTCCTTATAATTAACTATAATTTCCACTAATCCTCTATTTATCTTTCATGAACTTACTGGTTTTAAATTATACACACAAACAAACACATACTCACTCACACTTCAAGCATATTTTAAAATAACACAACCCAAAGTTAAAGCCTTTGGCAAAAGAATTAAACTACTTTTAATCTTAATTTTTCTGAAACTAAACTAAATTATAATTTGATAATTACCTCTTTAAATGTAACCCATAGATGAACCAGAGACAGCACAATGGGCTAAGCACATGCTTTTCGACAGGAGGCCCGGATCCAGTCTCAGAGAATGCACGGTCTCCTGAGCATTGCAGGAAGTAACCCCTAAGCAATAAGCCAGGAATGCCCCAATGCACCAGTGGGTGTGGTCCCCAAAATACACACATAAATGTAGGTACAATTCTGCTGTTGTTCACAGTACAGCACAACCGATAGAGGAAAATCAACTGGCAAGGCTAAGCTAGCCATACAGGGAAAAAGCAGACAAATCAGTTGTGGTCCAAATAGACACAGTTCAGCTTCAAAGAGTTGGGAGGGAGACAGAAAGAGAAAAAAGAGAGAAACAACTCAGAGATAACTTCTTAGAATCAGGGGAAAGACAATTTGAGACACAAAAGAAGAAAATTAAGAAAAGTGCTCCAATTATTTCAATAAAAACACTGTTTACTTTCAGCTGTGAGTTTATGCCTGCTGTTACTAAGGTTAACTTAAATAGTCAGGATGCTTATTTTCATGAAATTCAACAAAGGTTCTAAGTTGAACCTTCCAGGACCATAACATATAACTCTACATTTGTTTACATATGGATACTATTTTCAAATCAATTTCACATTATTTTCAAATGAAAAAGCTTTGTTTACCCTCTGGTTCCAGCAATTTGGGGATTTTTAATTCTCGTTCTGCAATTCTGAAGGCCTCTTGCAGATTGTCTCTGTTGGATCTATGCTCCACACTCTTCATGTCAATTAGGTCCGGTCTCAAGGCATGAATGACAGCCAAGAAGGCGATCCCATTTCTCCAACTTGACTTAAAATCTGTGACTTTCACAGACTTGTCCCTGTCACAAAAGGACAAAACCATGATAAATACTATTACATATAATAAATCAAAACTGTTCCATCTATTATAATCAACAGTAATTAAATTTTAGTGATCAAAGACACCATATAAAATATTCCAGGAAAGTATTCTATTTTAATCTTGTGGTCAAGCTAAAGTAAGATGCCAAGTTTGAGGAAGCTTAGGGTAGACCACACAGAACACTGATTCTCAAAGTGGATCCTGCACTGACAGCAAGAGTGTCACCTGGGTTGCATGTGCAAAAAGTGCAAATTTTCAGACCCACCCCAGACCTGGGACACTCATACAATGCTGGAGGGGCTGATACTCTTGGGTGGAGGGTGCTATATTGAAATATTTTATGCATGAAACCCTGCCATTATAAATATTGTAAATCACAATATCTAAAAGAAAAAATTTAATTATAAGAACTAACTTCTCTTCATCATCATTTGTATTTTTTTAATAAGGGACATCCCAGTGGTGTTTGGCCTAAGACATGTTTGGAGGTCAGGGGGGTGGTCACACCTGACATTACTTGAGAGGCCAATGCAATGCTGGCGATTAAAGTCAAGGCCTCACAGCCCCAGAAGCACAAGGACTTAATGCAGAACCCAGCAGCTTGGAGCAGAAAAGTGAAAGGACTATGCGTTAATCCAGGCCAACATGTCTGGCCGGAGGGGAAAGGGTGTTGGTCCCTTCCGACCTCCTCCCTCTGGAAAGAAAGATGGCGGCCACATGGGAGCCTTGTGGACAGCAGGTATGAGCCAGGGGCGTGGGGGCGACTAAAACCTCATGGGAAGGGGGGCGTTCCGGTCCGTCCTTCACGCCCTACCGAGGTCACCAGTTGCCCCCCGCGAGCAGCTCTCCAGCACGGCCACGGCCCCAGAAGCACAAGGACTTAATGCAGAACCCGGCAGCTTGGAGCAGAAAAGTGAACGGACTATGCGTTAATCCAGGCCATCAGGTCTGTCTGGAGGGGAAAGGGTGTTGCCCCAGTCGCCTTCTCCTCTCTGGAAAGAAAGATGGCGGCCGCATGGGAGCCTTGTGGACAGCAGGTATGAGCCGGGGATGTGGAGGCGACTAAAACCTCATGGGAAGGGGGGCGTTCCGGTCCATCCTTCACGCCCTACCGAGGTCACCAGTTGCCCCCCGCGAGCGGCTTTCCAGCATGGCCACGGCCCCAGAAGCACAAGGACTTAATGCAGAACCCGGCAGCTTGGAGCAGAAAAGTGAACGGACTATGCGTTAATCCAGGCCATCAGGTCTGTCCGGAGGGGAAAGGGTGTTGCCCCAGTCGCCTTCTCCTCTCTGGAAAGAAAGATGGCGGCCGCATGGGAGCCTTGTGGACAGCAGGTATGAGCCGGGGGACTGGGGGCGACTAAAACCTCATGGGAAGGGGGGTGTTTCGGTCCGCCCTTCACGCCCTACCGAGGCCACCAGTTGCCCCCCACTAGCGGCTCTCCAGCACGGCCACGACTCCAGAGCACAGAAACCAATTTCTTAACTATCTGACTTTCAGTAGAAATACTTCCAGGGTCAATAAGTAAAATAGCAGAAATCCAAAACCAACATATAATTCTTGAACCCAGCTGTAGAAAGCAAATCACTTCACAATGCTTTGTCAGCATGTCTGATTCGGGTGTGGGGGGGGGGGGGTAAACTCTAAATAATAGTGGTGAATCTTTTATTGAAACAATGAATCTAATCAAAGCAGATAGAGTGTCAACTAGAATTCATCTGCCCCACAGGGACTGGGAGGGGTGGGGGGTGGGGTTTTATTGGGGTTCTTCATGGTAAAAAATAAGTTTTGGTAAAGGGAAATGTGCTTGATATTTGCATGACTGAGACCTAAACCTGAAAGCTTTGTAACCTTCCCCATGGTGATTCAATAAATAAATAAATTAATTAAAAATAAATAAATAAAAAATAATAAAGTCAAGGCCTCACACATGCACGTAATGTGCTTTATCACGTGAGCTATCTCCCCAGTCTTTTTCCAGTTTTCATAAAGCATATACACTAGTCTCTTTTTCCTGAGCTATGGAGTTTCTAAACAATGGGGACCAAAATCTTATCAGGTCATCATAGATAGCTCAGAAAATTTGGTGTGTTTCAGCATTTGCTCACTTATCCACTCAACACACATTCATGGAATACCTACCATGAAATGACAATATAAAGACACAGCCCTACAGTTCAGTGGCAGAGCACTTATATAGCATGTGCAGGGCCCTGGGTTTGATTTCCAATGCCAACAGATCTTAAAAACTAAGACAGGCTGAGCCACACACCTCAAATTTGGAAGACTCACTGTGAGATGAAGAGGACAGTAAACTTTTTCTTTTTATTAAGAGGGAAGTATTTCAGACAGGTTAGGGAGCTAGTGAGCCTGCTTTTCAGACCCAGAGAACAGGCATGTTGAATTGTGGTACCACCAGAATGTCCTTACATGCCACACTGCTTCTGAGCCCACAAGAGCAGAGCCTTCTTTGCAGACATCTGCCACTTGGATTGGACACTGGCATATTTCTTCGTTGGAGGACTTGAGGTAGGAGATGAGTCGACAGCACTCACACTGTCCAGGCATGGCTGATTGGAATCGCAAGAGAGAGTCTGGGCAAGCTCTTGAATCTAAGGAAGACATAAAAGTTCATATAGACAAATATGCTATCAGATTTTGAGGTGAAATATTCAAAACCAGACTTTGAAGTTTCCATGTAACAGCAACAGTTTGTTCATAAAATGCGCGTGGGCAAATCTCTGAATAAAAGCTTTTGTGATGTGGCACTGCATTCCAGCTTGCTTTGCTTTCAGTGTCTTGGAGCAGTCCTTGCCCTCAATCAGGCATGGCAAGCTTGTAGTCCACCCCCTAAAGTGGTTACAGAGATGTTGGTCAACAACTATCAGTCTAATCGGAGCTAGACTTATACAATGTCTTCAGAGAGACTGAGTTTAAGAGGGAAATTGTCTGCCAAAGAGGCAGGGGGAGGGGTGGGTGTTCGATCATTGTATGACTAAAGCTCGAACATGAAAGTTTTGTAACTGTAGCTCACAGTGATTCAATAAAAAAAAATTGTAAAAACTTTGAAAAAAAAGAAAATGCACTATTAATTGTAAACCATAAAGAAATGAAGATGCAACATTTTCATATTGCTTTTAACAAGCAATACAAAATTATCTACAATCTGCCTGTGGGGCAGGCTTGAGTGGTGGTATGAAAATTCAAACTAATGGTGGTGAGATTGGTGTTGAAATATTGAATGTAATCAATTATTGTGAATAACTTTATAAAAATTAAAAATAAATAAATAATAAATAAAGAGACATAAGGGAAAAAAATAGTCATACACATGGAGAGACCAGTACCAGAAAGAAAAGTCAGTGTCATCAACTAAATGAAAAATACCCTCATAGGTCAAGGAACTCTCAGAGTCTGGTAACAGCATTAATTAGAATAACAACTTTGAAAACCAATTTGGTGCTCCTAGTAAAGCTGAGGATCACAGACCCATCTTAATGACCAGCAATTCCATCCTGGGGTACAAGGGCCTACCAAAATAGGGGCTCAGATATGCACTGAGATGCATGCGCAAGAATGCTTCTAGAAGCTTTATTCATAGTAAATAAGCTTATGATAAAAGAAATGTTCATGAGCAGCTGAATGGTAAGTTCTGGAAACATCATACAATGGTGTAGTCATACACTGTAATGAAAAAAATGACCCTTAATATATGTTGCAACATAAAAAACTTACAAAATACTAAGCAAATTTAGTCTGACATGAAAACTATATAGGTGCAAGAAAATAAACTATAAAGAGTGCAAGATGTCAAACCAAAGAGGTAATTTTCTTCAAGTAACTGGGAGAAGAGTATAGGGTCTCAGATATTCGTGTGTGTGTGTGTTTGTGTTTGTGTGTGTGTGTGTGTAGGGGTTACATGACGATGCTTGATTTACATAAATGTATCAAACTTTACAATTAAGATTTTCATGCCTTTTTCCTCTATGTGTGTCATATACATTTATAAACATATATTGTTGCTGCCATCTATCATAAAAATTATATACTGAATTATTTAAAGTGTTTAGGAATAGTGATTATAGATTTTTTATCTATGCTGAAATTTTAGTTATATTTCAAATACCATAGGAAGTATATACACAAAATATAATGTCTGTATATTATCAAATTTTAATATTTTACCACATCTGGTTCCTCTTTCTTTAAAGACATAAAACACATACAGTTGAAGACTTTCATCTTTCCCTCCGCATTCCCTTTCCTATCATTCCCAGAGGGGGAAAAAACCCACAATCCTAAATTTAGTTTTTTCCATCACTGTCATGCACAATATTGTATTATAATTACAAATGTAGGTATTCAAAAATAATATATGGGTCAGGGAGCTAGATCAAAGGGTTGAGCTCAAGTTCTGCATGTGGGAGAACTGGGTTTGTTCCATGGCACCACAATGTCCCCTAAGCAGTGCCAGAAGTGACCCCTGAGCAATGTGCCAGGAGTCACTCCCAAATACCGTAGGCCAAAAACAAAATAATAATAATATGTTTCATGGCCCAAAACCAAAATAACAATAATATAATGTTTCATGGCTCAAGACCAAAATAACAGTAATATAATGTTTAGTTTCACATTTTTTAATTTTACATGAATTTTTTTCTAAATAAGCATTTGTTTCCCACATAATTCTTAAAGTTCTTTAAAAAGCAATTATAGAGATATAAAACATGCCATGTTTTTTAGGTACATGCAGAAAACACAAATTCAGAATCCCAGATATGAATGACTATATATTTATCAATCATAGATCAGGACTGTTACTACTTTTTTAATGTTCTAGAACAAGTGCTAAATCAAGGTATTTATGGATGTTATATATCTGTTGAATGAAACGAATATTTGGGTCTCTTAGTACAAAACTGGATACTGTAGGATTATTTAGATTGGACAAGGGCCCTCAAAAATAGGGAGCTTTAACAAAGCTTAGTGGTAAGTTTTCAAGAATTTACTCCAGAAGTTTCCTACACTCTTTGCCAAAGCAAACAAACAATAATAAGGAAAAATTTAACCATGGCAGGTTCTATTCAGACTCGTGCTGCTATCATGGATAATTCAGGACTCTAAGATAATTTAGCATTTCATTTTAAATGGAAAAATAACAAAAATGGCAAATAACAAAAATATGCTTTCTACCTACACTATTCCTGGAATGTTCTCAGTATCTCCAAGTAGCACTGAATCTAGCACCATGTCATATGCAGTGTGTCAAACTTATTTCACACTGCAGTAATTAGAGCAGAAATACTGCTCTTATCTTCAAATTACTCACATGAAAGTGCAGTATAATTGTCCAAATTAAGCCAAGAATAATGGATGGGTTTCCATCTATAATATCAGCAACATGAATATTTATTAGCTTGATCTGGAAAAGAAGAAATGCGAGTGAAAAGGCAAAAGAATCTCACAGATTCATCTCTCCAGTAGGTTTCCATGTGAAGTTCATACTCACAGATCGGTTTTTCAGGAATGTCAGGGCATGTTCTATGTTGATTCTACGCTGGAATGTATTAAATCCTTTATCTCGGGGCTATAAAATTCAAGCAAAAGTTATCACTCAAGTTCATGGTGATTCGATTTAAAAAAAAATTAAAAAACAAAAAAGCTAACAGACTGTAAACAAAATTTTGTAATCAACATTTTTTTACTGTCACTTGGAAAGCTTACCAACTGTTGTCCCGAGAGTACTTCCAGCAAATCCAGGAGGACATGGCCCTTTTGAATGTCTGCAAATAGGTCTGATATCCTTGAGGGAGGCGTGTGCTGCAAAAGGGCACAAGAAAAGTCATCAAGCTCTGACTCCAAAGCACAATACCTCTAAGAATTCCACAAATGGCAAGCTGGGGATGTGGCTCAGTGGTAAAGTACTCACTTTACAAGTATGTCTGAGACCTGAGTTCAACACCAATACACATTATGAAGACACAACATCAGGCATATGTGCAACCCCGGGTCTTCACCACAACGACGTCAACAAAAATGGGAAAAGAATGACTTTTTTTTTTAAGTGTATGAATGCACTTCTGTTTTATAAATGCAAAAATAAATTACCATACACAATAAAATAAAAAAATGTAAAGAATCCCATAAATATGTCTTCAAAAACAAACATAATATTTGGTACTGATCATCTCATTTGTTGCCCCACTTCCCTTTCCTTTGCTGTTATAATCACTGGCACATGTTTTGGTTGTGGTGCTCACCAGGGATCACACACTTGGTTGGGGTATGGTAGAGATTGTATATTTTTGTGTGTGATGGTTCCAAGGATCACAAAGGATCACAGCTGCAGTGCTGGGGATCACATTCACAGCCTTTATAGCTATAAGGCAGGTGAGCCATCCCTAAAGGGCTTATAATTTTCTTCTTAGTTAACAGAATGATAATGAGCACGAAGAGTTCCATATAAAAACATGATGAGCTCAATACATTTTTTTAAAACATTAAGAGCAGAAAAATTAGAATAAAAAAAACAACAAGAAAAGTAAATTTATCTCAAGACAATTTTCCGATAATACAACATTTAGCTTTCTCTAAGAATTTATAAGCTGCACAAAAATGGCTTTTAAAGACAATGAGTCAGGGGCAATAGTACAGCAGGTAGGGTGCTTGCTCTGCACAAATCTGATCACCAGCACCCTTTACAGTCCCTTGAGCTCTCCAGGAGTGATCCCTGAGTATAGAGCCAAGAGTAAGCCCTGAGCATCACTCTATGTGTACCCCTCCTCAAAAAGAGACAATCAGAATCAGGCAGTCATAACTGATTAGGGGAGCAATTAAATTTCTGGAGTAATCTCTTCATAAATGTACTCTTTATAGAAATATAAGCCTTGTGTTGGGATAAACAGGTAGGAAAAAAGGCTCATTCAGTATTCATAAAAAGCAATAGAAAACAAATTATCCAGCATCTGCCCCTGGCAGGCAGGCTTGAATAGTGGGGGGAAACTAATGGTGATGGGAAGGTGTAATGGTGGTGGGATTGGTGTTGAAATATTGAATGTAATCAATTAATGTGAACAACCTTATGAAAATAAAAAAAATTTAAAACCTTAAAAATAATAACAATAATAAAAATAAAAGGCTCATTTAGTGTCCAGTTATTCTACGCATCGCGGAGAAGCAGAATATTGATTGTGATGTCTGGACCCAGAGTGCCTGGGTTTGCAAGCCAGCACTATCACTTACAAGCTGTGTGGCCTTGGGCGAGTCACATAACTTCTATACCTTAATTTCCTTGTTCATTGCACAGAAATGATCACTTAAATGTCAAAAACAATCATGACAATAAAAGAGCTAATGACAGTGTCTAGCACATAACACTCAATATACAGGAGTCATTACTACTTTTCTCCTCAATGGGATCTCAAATCTTGGCATGGTCAGGATCATCTGGGAGCATACCAGGATATTACCAGGACCTCACAATTGCCCTGAGTGTTTCCAAAGCTACTGAACCATCTTCCTGACCCTTATCAGTAAGGATCCCTACCAACAGGGCTATCACCATCACTTTCAAACCTGTGGGCAGTGCTGAGGCTTTGAACTCATGATCCTGAGCCATCCTGTACCTTCCACCCAACTTTGTTATTATTGTGCTTCATTAGATGAAGGAGTTGTTTCCACTTTCAACAATTTAAGAGTGCTATCATCTCTCATGGTCTTAACAACGCTCCCTCATTTCCTCATTGGGAAAGAATAATAAATATGTCAAAAACAAGATCATTATGGGAGAACAACTCAAAAGGTTTAAAAAAAAAAGTTCACATCTGTTTGAGTTTAATGCACCCAAACCAACCCATTCCACTTCTCTGCACAACTTGCAGTGCTACACAGGAGTTACGGGACACACACAACTGGTCAATTACTGAGCAAAGGCTCCACTCCAAACATTCGCCAAATGTTTACTGAGCACAGAGTAGATCCTTTTTCTCTCAAGAGGGCAATACGCCCCCTGGAAAAGGAGCTGAAATGATTCAGTGGAGAGAAGTAGCCTGGGGTGCACAGCATCATCTTCAATGAAGAAAACTGATCTACTTAGAGTTATGGGGAGAATATTTTGATATATATTCACTATAAAAATGGCACATCATGTTTTTGGTTTCTCTATTAACAAGCTGACAAAACACCTCACCCTGGTGGCACAGTTACAGAAATAAAGGCAATTTGCCCTACCAAGCTTTCCGGGATGGTGAAAAAAATTCCCAGAAGCTCTTTGGGTGGTGTGGTAAAGGCAGGATCAATGGCTCCCATGATCTGGTACCAACCGCCACATCTTTCTCCTGTGAAATGGGGATGGTCTAATGGGCTGTGACGCACAGTCCTCTGTCAGTGGTTAAAGTATTTGGACATCCCTAACATCATGAACTATTAGAGGCCTTGTGAGCAGGCAAAACATATCCATAACCAGCATCTGTGTTTATGCAATTCACCGGATGAATTGTTCTTAGGGTTAAAAACCAAAGCCAAGATCAAGGGAAAACTCAGCACTCTTTCAACCTTTTACAAGTTACCAGTCCCATTTGGGAGGCCAAATTATATTTTTAAGGTTCATTTACTTCCCCTCACCTTTGCCAACTGTGAGTTTATCCAGCAGGTAAAGGTTTTCTTCTGCGTGTCTTCCTGTTCAGCTGTTAAATAAAGAATAACAGCAGTTAGAGAGAAAGTCAGAGGCCTCAGAGGCCTTTGGAACGCATCAAAGCTCCTCAGGTCTGCTTCTATGTGTGCATGCATATTTCCCAAGAAGAGATTTGGAAATAACATACTGATTTGTTTTAACACTGCAGTTTAGCTCATGAGACAATGTTTCCAACTTTTTACTGATAAAAGTACTGGATGCCTACGTGATCTTAATAGGACCTTAACAGGACCTGCAGACAGAGAAGAGTTCTAGCCCAAGGACTTGCTGTTTAAGCCAAAGCCAGCACTGAAGGACAAATCCAGAATGCCTGAAAGCCTTAAAAGGACACTTAAAATCATGGCAGTTTCAATTGACATTTATCATGACTATCAGACATGGAGAATATATTGCCCCTGAATTAAAAACAATGGAGCTACAATTAGAGTTGGAAAGACCTGGGTTCAAGTTGCACCTCTGAACTGAGTAGCATATGTGTACCTCAGGGCTAAGGTACAAGCAGGAGCCATGAGGGATGGAGGGCAAGTTGCTGTAAGACTTTAATAATTCATTTAAAGTGAATAGACTCAGTTTTTCCTGTGTGGAGAAGACCCTGTTCTGTCTTCAACACATATATCCTTTCTTTTTCCCCTCTCACATTTCTCTAACTTATTTTCAATAAAAATTTTTTGCTTCAGGAATAAATAATAACGAAGTGAATGAACTCTAGCACACAGTTAAGATGGGGAAGTGCTAACATGACTCTTATGACCAGGTGAAAGTCAAGGGAAGGATGGGAACATTCAGAATCAGTCTTCCCTTCCCCCACCCACAGGGCAGCAGCGGGTGGTCCCAAACCCACACCATTCTCTGCCCCCTCCTCAGCTTCAGCAGACATCCCCAACGCTGAGGCCCAGCGTTCTGCCTGCACACAAGGACTGAGGTTCCATTTCTCCAGAGCTTCCCACCACCCGGCACGGGAGTTTGTCTTACTCTTACACCCGAATTCACCAAGACAAATCTCATAATGCTTTTCCTTGCTTGCATTATTTACACACACACACACACACACACACACACACACACACACACACACAGGCCTTCCACATCTCCCAATTTTTCTCATCTCCCCTTCTCCATAACCAGTAAAATCCTTACAGTGATGATGAGACCTGTAATATACCAGCAGCAAGATGCCTTTCTGTACCAATGGAAACCTGTCTTCTCTGCCCAGAAATCTGCTTTTCCCTCAAAATCCCCTGAGAACACTGCAGACCTCTACAGCACAGGCGTCTCTTTTACAGATCTTGGACCTGTGGCTCCTTGCTCCTCACTTGTACTTTCAAATCATTCTTTACTCTTTGTCATTAAATTGTTCCAGTTTTGACTCTCATGCCATCAGACTATTCCCACTGGTACAGTCATCTACATTACTTAATCATTTTCTGTAATCACATTACTTAATCATCTCCCAACTAGAACTCCTGCCTAGTTCTCTGCAAGTCCCATAAACAGATTAATGAGCCTCTGGAGCGAGCCTTCAACTAACATCAATCTCCCTAGCTCTCCATTATCTAAATTCAGCTCCAAGAAACTTACTCCCTATCCTGGCTCTCTGTCTTGGTCATAACTCAGACTTTGATATTGCTGATAATGATAACTCTTGATAACCTCAATTTTGTGTATCTACATCCCTGAGTATCACCTCTTATCTTTTCATTTAATTTCCCTTTGTGCTCCAACTATAACAATCTTGGGAGTAAAAATATTGGTATAGAGATAATAAAGAATTTTTTTTAAAAAAAGACTAATCTGCAGAGAAGGGAGCACCAAATAAAGGGTCAGTTGGGAGGATCCTCCTAGGATGGGAGAAGCATGCTGAAAGTAGACTATAGACCAAACACGATTGCCACTCAATGCCTCTTTTGCAAACAACAACACCCAAAAGGAGAGAGAGAACAAAAGGGAATGCGCTGACACAGAGACAGGGTGGGATGAGGGGGAATGGGGTGGGATACTTGGGATTCGTGGTGGTGGAAAATGGGCACTGGTGGAGGAATGGGTATTTGATCATTGTATAATTGAAACCCAAACACAAAAATTTGTAAGTCTACAACTGTACCTCATGGTGTTTCACTAATAAAATTTTTTTAAAAAAAGACTAATCTGCTTCTTAATAAAACTGATAGGGAAGGCAGCATTCTACTTTCTAATATGTTATTTTCCTTATTTTTATTCTCCCTTATTATCTCTATCTAATTCACTTGTAGACTAAAAGTACACATAAAATTTGAATTTTATCAATTTTTGAATTTCATAACAGCTATAGGTGAGGAACAGAAGAAACTCCTAGTAAATGGAATTTTAGGGTGTTTACAATTGTGACTAATTAGAAATTCAAGATGACCTTGACTTTGTTGTGTTTTCCCCTATATTCTTTTATTTTTATAATTTTTTTTCTAAAGGGACTAAAGCAGTAATATACAACTGGCAGGATAATTGTGTCACATGTTGTCAACCTGAATTTGATCCCCAGCACACCACATGGTACCCTGTAGGATAACATTAGCTTGTCCTTTCTCCACCGCCACAGGGAGCTTAGGTTTATCAGTTATACCCATCGCAGTGCTACTGTGTCACTCCCATTCCTCTGTTTATCTGTAAACTCTTCTCTGTGCTCTCCTCCCCAATCGGCTAATCACCTTTTCCCCCTAATCAGATTCTGTTAGCTTGTAAGATCAGATCCTTCTAAGAACTTGTATTGTATTGTATTGTATTGTATTGTATTGTATTGTATTGTATTGAACTTGTATGTCTTTCGCATAGTCCTTTCTGTATGGACACAGGAAAACAGTTAATATTATGCTTTGTCTTGTTTGTTCATTGCAGCACTGTTTATAATAGCCAGAATCTGGAAAAAACCTGAGTGCCCAAGAACAGATGACTGCTTAGAGAAACTTTGGTACATCTACACAATGGAGTACTATGTAACTGTTAGAACAGATGAAGTCATGAAATTTACATACAAGTGGTACTACATGGAAAGTATGTTAAGCAAAATGAGTCAGAAAGAGAGGGATAGACATAGAAATATTGCATTCATTTGGGGAACATAAAGTAACAAAATAGGAGACTAACACCCAAAAGTGGCCAAGATTAGTACCAGGAGGTTTGCTCCATGGCTTGGAGGCCAGCCACACATGCTAAGGGAAAAGGGAGTTCAGACAGAGAAGGGAGCACCAAATAAAGGGTGTTGGGAGGATCCTCCTAGGATGGGAGAAGCATGCTGAAAGTAGACTATAGACCAAACATGATTGTCACTCATTGCCTCTTTTGCAAACCACAGCACCCAAAAGGAGAGAGAGAACAAAAGGAAATGCCCTGCTACAGAGGCAGGGTGGAATGAGGGGATGGGGGGGTGGGAGGGATATTGGGACCCATGGTGGTAGAAAATGGGCACTGGTGGAGGGATGGGTATTTAATCATTGCATAATTGAAATCCAAGCACAAAAATTTGTAAGTCTACGACTATACCTCATGGTGTTTCATTAATAAAAATTTAAAAAAATATATATTATGCTTTGTTATGTGGGAGTTGATTGACTCCGAATAATATTAACTCCTGGGCATCTACTTTCTTGACTCATTTGCCCTTAGATCCTAGCATCCCCGAAGCAGGGTCCCAACGAGGGACTGAATGGACCCAGGACAAGCTGTGAGCTACTCTGGCATAGAAATGGGCCAGGCCAGAGCGCCACAATATGGAACTACAAGTTGAGGGCACGATCATGGACAAATGCTGTCATGATCCAAAAGTAAGTAATGATGAGACTAGGACCCTGCTGGGACTAGGAAGACTAACCTGGCCTGAGGACTATGAGATATATATATATATATATATATATATATATATATATATATATATTATATATCATTACCCTAAGTCCTGCCAGGAGAGATCCCTGAGCACAGAGTCAGGAATAATTCCTGAGAACTGCCAGATGTGCCCCCCACCACAAATTTTTTTTTCTGTATTACCAGTTTGTATTAGTTATTTCCCAATGACTTACAGACCGAAGGCAGTCAATAACTGTTAGTTGAACAGTACTAACAGTTCAGACTTTCAAAGGGTAATTTCATTTTATGTAAGTTTCACTAAGCAAAAAAATTACAAAGAACCACTCTTTTGTCCTATTACATAAAGTATTACTAAAAACTTAGTTCTATACTAATTTCTTCCCCAACTAGGGTGTTTCTACACTTTAAATAATTTTTTTTAGCTTTCCAATAAAAAGACAAGCAAATAAATTAAAATGTTACTAAGTTTAGAGTCTGAGAGGTGCCTGCTTTGCATGTGTCCTACCCTCTTTGATTCCTGACTGCAAGGTCCATGATTGTCCCCCCACCCTGGGACTAAATTATCTAGAGTCCTTGAGATTATATTTCATTGCTTTCTCTCGTACCAGTGTGCAGTAACACAAGTTTTAAACAGTTCTATGATTACCAAAATAATGTATTAAGGGAAAATTCTGTTTTGCAATAAAAAAACAGATTCAGAGAACACATTTTTATGATTCCAGGACCATGGTACAAGCATACAGTACACAGTAATCAAGGACATAAGGTAAAAAAATTCTGGAATTTATTCATTATTATAACAATAAGGCAACAATTCGAAACATAGAAGCCTCTCTTCCCTTAAAGAATGAAAGAGGAATTTTTCTCCCAAGGTGATAAACTATGAAAAAGAAACTAATCAGGAATACTCCCAAATCCAAAAGATAGTCTGTACTAACTTCAGGGGAGTCCTAGGGAAGACACAAGAAAGAGAGGCCATAAATAACTGTGAACGGGTTTTACATGCCACCTGTAAGATCTAGCACAGTCTGAAGCACTGTCCTCCCATTGTTCATTGATTTGCTGAGGTGGGCACCAGTAACTTCTCCATTGTGAGACTTGTTACTGTTCTTGGCATATCGAACACGCCACAGGGAGCTTGCCAGGCTCTGCCAT